AGATTATTCCGTCCTGATTATACCATTCCGACCAATAAAATGACAGCCTTGGATAGGGTACTCGGAGCCAAGGGATCCCTGGATTAGGGCACACTCATAACCTTCTACTGAGCGCGCCAATAATACTATAATATCTAACACTCATTAACCAAGTAAAAAAAAAAAAAAAAAAAGAAAAAAAGATAAAAAAATGTCTAAAAATAATGATAGAAATTAATATTGATATAAATGTTCTGCATTTAAACAACTTTTTAAAAGTTAGCGAAACTAAAATTGTATTACAATTAAAAACTAAATTCAATTGGAAAAATAATATAGGGACTGTTTCTAAAGATTTACCATTGAAAGTAATGTTGGAGGCAGAATTAGCACTAGCATACTCTGAAGCTGGAGTTTTGTTTTTTTGTTTGTTTGTTTTTTTTCGCTTCACGCCTAAAGTTTGGCACAGGAGATCCTTCTTTCACTTATTACACATCTATTACAACTTCTTGACTTAAAGCAAGTAACTTGCAAAAACATTTAAATTAACTTGGGGATCAGTAAAGTGTTTTATTTTTATTCAATTAAATTACAGCTCTCTTTAAGGCCTGCAGTTTATATTTGTGTAAGAGGGATAGATTAATCATATCTAAAATGGTGGTGTAAATCTAAGGAAATACTTTCTTTAACAATCTGGGTAGGATTGGATCTGAATTTCAAATTGAGGGTTTGTAAAGTTTAGTTTCAGACACTTGTATACCAGAGTATGATTGGCTGGATATGGCTCTAGTGTGAAGTGCTTCATGTGACTCTGAAAAATGCCTTAGAAATTCAGTCCCATGAACATTTGCATCAAATGTTTTTGACTCAAAATTCTTGCTTTCCCACATTGAAATTTTATATTTTGACACAGCTGTTTCCCCTATTGTCAGTAGAATCACATTGGTCAAGTACATTTTTATTCATTTAAGTCTGTTTTTATATAACTAACCAATTAAGCATATTAAAATGTTTCAAGGGATTAAAGTAATGGGGCACATTCTTTTGTTCATAAAAAAATTTATTTTGTGTTTTTGTCTAGATCTCCCACAATATTGTGTGTTTAAAGAGGAGGAGGAGCTCAATGAGATAAGCCACAAGGAAGGGAACACCATCTTAGTTAAAGAGGAACCAGAACCTCTGCAGATAAAACAGGAGCAAGAAGAAATAGAACATCAACAGGTCAAAGAGGAAGAGAATCAACTCTGCATCAGTCAGGATGAAGAGAAGTTTGTGTTGAAAGAGGAGAAGGAAGAAATTTTTATAATTTCTAATGTAAAAAGCGATTACGATGAAACAGAGCCAAACCAGTCCATCTGTCAGTCATCTCAAATTGAGAACCAGGATGAAAAGGGAAGCAATTTTGAAGACCAAGGAGAAAGGAGAGATAAAGAGCAGAAACAAGATGATAGATGGCAGAAAACCATGCAGAAGAAAGGAACTGATGACAGTTCAAAGCAAAAAACTGTCAAAAAAACAAACCCAGACAAAAATAAATATGACTGTAAAGGTAATAGCAGAATCTTATGTGGAAAGAGTGACTTGTCCCGATACATGAGAACTGACACAGGCGAGAAGCCTTTCACATGTACAATCTGTGGAAAAAGCTACAGATCGAGAAGAGGTTTAAATTTTCACCTGAGAGGTCACACGATTGACAATCCTTTCACATGCATTTTTTGTGGGAAAGGTTTCCGCCAGAAATACCTTTTAAAGTTTCACATGAGGACTCACACTGGTGAGAAGCCTTTCTCATGTACAACCTGTGGAAAGAGTTACAGCGAAAGGAAGAGATTGACTTGTCACATAAGAATTCACACAGGCGAGAGGCCTTTCTCATGTCCGGTTTGTGAAAAACGTTTCAGAGACAGATATCATTTAACTTGTCACATGAAAACTCACTCAGGTGAGAAGCCTTTCGTGTGCATTACTTGTAAAAAAGGTTTCAGCCGTCAAAGGAATCTAAAAAATCATATGAGAACGCATACAGATGAGAAACCTTTTAAATGTACACACTGTGAAAAAAGCTTCACCAATAGACATAGTCTCACTTATCACATTAGAAGTCACACAGGTGAGAAGCCTTACCTGTGCACAACCTGCGGAAAAGGATTTAGTGGAAAAAGTAATTTAACTCTTCACATGAGAACTCACATGGCTAAGAAACCTTTTGCTTGTACAACTTGTGGAAAGAGTTACAGTGAAAAGAAGAGACTAATATGTCATATGAGAATGCATGCAGGAGAGAAGCCTTTCCTATGTATTACCTGTGGAAAAAGTTTTATCTGTAGAAGCAGTTTAACTTACCACATGAAAACTCACACTGGAGAGAAGCCTTACTCATGTGAGACCTGTAAAACAAGGTTCACCCAAAAAAGCAGTTTAACCACTCACATGAGAACGCACACAGGGGAGAAGCCTTACACATGCACAACCTGTGGAAAATGTTTCAGCCGTAAAAATAGCTTAACTTTTCACATAAGAACTCACACAGGTGAAAAACCATATCTGTGTACAACCTGTGGAAAAAGATTTAATGCGAAAGGTAGTTTAAATCTTCATATGAGAACTCACATGGCTGAGAAGCCTTTCTCATGTACAACTTGTGGAAAGGGTTACAGTGAAAGGAGGAGTTTAGATTACCACATGAGAACTCACACAGGCGAGAAGCCCTTCTCATGTGAGACGTGTGAAAAAAGGTTTACCAGCCAAAGGAGTTTAACATATCATATGAGAACACACACTGGAGAGAAGCTTAATCATCCGTGATGTGTGGAAAGAGTTATGGTTCAAGAAACTGTTTAACTTCTCGTGAGAGATATATGACCTGTGGGGTGAGATAGATTAACAGAAAGTTCAACTTATCACATGAGAACTTACACTGGCGAGTAAGGCTGACACAAATGATTAGATTAATTGTGATTAAACAATTTCTATGATGATCAATTCACTTAATTGATCATCAAGTAATTTGGTAATCAATCTATTATCCAGAGTAATGTACACGGACTATAAAACATGCCATACTGAAAAAAGAAACCTACTTACAGCAGCTATTAATTCAAAACTACAAAAAACATTTTAAAATACGTAATCAAGGTTTTTCTCTCTAACTTTCAAATGTTTTTTTATTCAGAAATGTTGATCTACTAAAAGTAGTTATTTTTAGGTTGATCAAAAAAAATAACTGCAGCCCTACAGACGAAAAGCCGTTTCTAATGTGAGAGGTGCTGAAAAACGTTTCATCTATGTAAAAAGTTGGACTGTTTGCACAGATGATCTCAAACAGCAGAAGTGGCGTTATGTAAACATCATGTATCAAATGCCATTTTTCTCATAAAAGGCTCCATATTTAATTTAATCTTTATTCAATTTAATTTAATTATTTTTTTTTTAAACCAGGTAGACTGAATTAATTTTTAATAGAAATGCATGTTATCCTGAAGCAGCCAAACATATGGAAAAGTTTATAAGAAAACAACACTGCACCCTTAAATCCAGTGAGTAATGGTGATAAGAAACCAGAGGTCAAGAAGACTGACAGGCTACCATCACACTGCAGGCAGGCAGAAGGGGTTGATGTCGCTACTGTCTAACCATAAATTCCAGTGAAAATTACACACTGTACTGTAGCTTGAAGCGGCATTGCACTCAGCAGCCTGTTGGTTTTCATTCCGTCTGACGAGTTGTTCAGCAGCTCTGCTTAATACTAAACTATGATTAACATAAAAATTAAGGGACACAATTTGGTTTCTTTTTCACTTCTGACGAAAGACTATGCATAAAAGCTTGTCTTTTGGCTAATTCTGGCATATTTTATGGTTGTACTGTTACAGTTTTTTTTAAGTTATTATTTATTAATAATGTGTCATCACTAAAATATGGATTTAAAATGTTTTCAGATTCAGACAGACATGATTTTAGGACTCCAAGTTTGTCTGTTCCTATATTTTATGTGTCTAATGATATCAGTTCATGGATGAACGTTACCAGTGAATATATATAATAGTAGGCAATGAAAAAATTACCAATTTCTTAAGTTTTTTCTGAATTTGTATCTAATTATCTCACACATCCTATGACAATTTTGAAATAATACTGATTATATTATGGGGGTAATGTAGAATATGTTTTTTATTTTTTCACATATTTTGAAATTTTTGTTGTTTTAAGCTACTAAGATTTGTACCTGGTTGTTGTTTTCTTTCAATTATTTGACCTTTTGATAAAAGTGTAGTTTTTATATTAGAAAGTCTATGCATTAAAGTGATCAAATGTCTAAAGCAAAAGTTACAATAAAACCATTCATAAATGTGAACTATGAAGTCTTTTTGCATTCAATGCTCTTTTTCATTAGTTTACCAGCTGCTTGTGAATGACTCAAAAGGTTTATGCAGAACAATTCCGCTGTAGTCAGGTTTAATTTATTTTTCTTTCCTCGAGTTATGTTTTTTTATTACATATTTATTTTGTTTTAACTCTTTCAGTTCTGGACATTTCTGACAGTATTCATAAAACTGTTTAATACTTCAAAATTTGAACATATAAATATCAATAAAATAAACTGATTTAGTTAGAAACTAGTACCAGCTGTCAGTATTATTTCTTTACCATACTTTCTACTTTTACTAGAGTAATATCATTTTCACCTACCTGTGCACTAATCATTGTGTCTAATCAGCATCTTCATATGGCACACTTGTGAGGTGGGATGGATTATCTCAGCAAAGGAGAAGTGCCCACTATTACAGATTTAAACTGGTTTGTGAACAGTATTGAGGAAATGGTTATATTATGTATGTGGAGAAAGTTGTCGATCTTTAAGTTCATCTCATAAAAAATGGGAGCAAAGTCCAAAGTGTTGCGTTTATTTTTTTGTAGAGTGTAAATTCAGCTGCATTCTTCTAGAGGGGTTTACTTTGATGTTTTCTAACCCTATGCATTGAGTTACAGAGCTCTGAATTAATCCAGTCATTTGGTAGTGTCTGTGCCTTTATAAAAGAATAGATGTCTTGCTATTCAAACGTTTGGGCTTTAATTAAAGCCTCTTTCTGACCCAAATTTTATGTCAGTGTACGTATATTTGAAAATGAAAGGGTAAATGTCACTCGAGTGTAAAACAGTTTTAGTGGCTGATGTGACTTTCTTCATACATTGATTACATTGAACATTTACATGAAATCTATGTAACACAGATTTTTGCTGAATTTTTTTCCACATTGTAATGTCATACTTTGATACAGCAAATTCCTTCTGCTCAGGAGAAACGTGGTTCAAGTAAGTTGTGTTTGTCAAATCTTTTAATTTTCTGCTATTTAATGAAGTATATAGAACTGTAACAATGAATTAAAGCGATCAATATGTTCTTCAACTCACATTTATAAGCTTTTATTTTGTGTTTTTGTCCAGATCTCCAACAATGTTTTACCTTTAAAGAGGAGGAGAATCTCGATGAGATAATCCACCAGCAAGGGAACTCCACCATAGTTAAAGAGGAACCAGAACCTCTGAAGATAAAATGTGAGCAAGATGAACTAGAACATCAACAGGTCAAAGAGGAAAATAAGCAGCTCTGCATCAGTCAGGATGAAGAGAAGTTTGTGTTGAAAGAGGAGACTGATAACACATTGATCATTTCTAATGTAAAAAGCTATTCTAATGAAACAGAACCAAACAAGAACCAGCTCATCTGTCAGTCCTCTCCTGAATTTGACAACCAAGATAAAAAATGGAGCAATTTTGAAGACCAAGTAGAAAATGGATATGAAGAGCAGAGACAAAATGGGAAATACCAGAGAACCAAACAGAAGAAAGGTACAACTGGCAGGGCGGAACGAAAAACACTCCAAAAAACTAACCCAGACCAAAATGGGTATGATTGTAAATCTAATGCTAAAAAATGTTTTGAAAACAGTGACTTGTCTCCACAGATGATGGCTCACTTGAATCAAAAGCCTTTTTCTTGCGCAACCTGTGGAAAAGGTTTCAGTAGAAAATCTAATTTAATTTATCACATGGAAGGTCATACAGGTGAGAAGCCTTTCACCTGTATTACCTGTGAAAAAAGTTTCAGTCGGAAAAGCTATTTAAAAAGTCACATGAGAACTCACATGGCTGAGAAGCCTTTTGCATGTACAATATGTAATAAGAGTTACTGTGAAAGGAAGAGTTTAACTTATCACATGAGAACTCATACAGAAAAGCCTTTCACTTGTATTACTTGTGAAAAAAAATTTAGTTGTGACACCAATTTAACAGCTCACATGAAAGTTCATAAAGGCGAGAAGCCTTTTACGTGTACTACCTGTAAAAAAAGTTTTAGTTATAAAAGCGTTTTAAGTATTCACATGAGAGCTCACACAAATGAAAAGCCTTATAAATGTACAAACTGTGATAAGAGGTTTTCCTACAGAAATAATCTCACTCATCACATAAGAAGTCATTCGGGGGAGAAGCCTTACTTGTGCACAACCTGTGGAAAACGTTTTAGCAGAAAAAATGCTTTAACTTTTCACATGAAAACTCACACAGGGGAGAAACCTTTCTCGTGTACAACTTGTGGAAAGAGTTTCATTGAAAGAAAGTTCTTAATTTATCACATGAGAACTCACACAGGAGATATGCCTTTTTCATGTAGTGTCTGTGATAAAAAGTTTACCTCTAGAAGCAGTTTCTCTTATCATATTAAAACACACTCAGGTCAGAAGCCTTTCTCATGTGACACCTGTGAAAAAAGGTATACCACTAAAAGCAGTTTAACGTCTCACATGAGAACTCACACGGGCGAAAAACCTTTCTCGTGTGTGACCTGTGGAAAGAGTTATAGTGCAAAAAATGCTTTAACGTATCACATGAGAACTCACACTGAGGACAAACCTTTCCCATGTTCTAAATGTGAAAGAAAGTTTGTCTGTAGAAGCAGTTTAGCTTATCACATGAGAACTCACACAGGTGAAAAACCTTTCTCATGTGAGACCTGTGAAAAAAGGTATACCAGCAGAACCAGTTTAAGATCTCACATGAGAATTCACAGGCGAAAAGTCTTTCTCATGTAAGAACTGTGGAAAAATGTAAGTAGTTGGACTGTTCACATGAGATATCACATATATACGGTGGTGTAATGTAAACTTTGGTGACTGTGATAAGCAAAGCAGCCTGGCTGAGAAGCATGCATGCCACCATTCATCCAGAAGCAACTTATCCTGTAGCTTCTGAATCAGGATGTGATTTCTGCTGTTGTTGACAACTATTGACTGCAACAATGACACTGGTGGCAACAGTGACAAAAACATTGAGAGCGATCATAGTGATGACAGTTGACAATGTATATTCATGCTCTTTAAATTCAGTGTCGTCCTCTTTGAGCTGGAATTTGGGCCGCTAATTTCCCACATAATCTCCCATATGAAATGACACAGGCAAGGATGGTCAGTAGTTAACCCAAACCTAATGCATAAAATAATAATAATAATAACTTTAATGTCTTTTCGTCTAGTGACACAAAATGCATGTCAAATGTCAAATCATTTTGCTTGATGGGAGAGATCTTACAGACTTTTTTTTTATCCAATTTTTAAAGCATTTCTGTTAGTTTTGAAAGAGTGGTTCAGACATTTATTGATGGTGTGAGTGAACCACTGTGTGCTGAAGGAGCAAGAAGTAAAAGAGCAGCTGCCCAGAGTAGAGTTTTTAAGCAAAAACGCAGGATTTAAACAAATGTGGAGTACATTTTCAAAACAATACCTGGGTATTATTAACAGCATTATAGTGATGCTTCTAGATTGAACCCATTTTGGTTCAATGCATCAACTTGGATGCACATTTGCTTTGAATTCAGATTCAGTACATGAAGGGCATCACTACACTAACTCTCACCCAGGGATTTTTTTAAACATTTGTAACCCACCCTGGGAGGGGTAAGGTATACAAGCAAAATTTCAACTCTGTGGCTGAGACCAGGCTGTTTATTAAGCACCTACCGGTATACTTGCTTGCTGCTCCACTTATCATTTTTACTTATCATTTTTGCTCAATTAATGATAATATATTGGCTATTGGATACAAGTTAGAGGTGAATATATTGAGTGGTAGGCTTCTAGTGAATTTTCCATTTTTCAAGTTTTCTGAAGTTATATCTAAATGTCACACATATCATTTTTTGACTGTTTTTTGTGATAAAAGTAAATAACACTGATTATATGATGGCAACAACACAGAAAGAAAGTTTAAAAAGTCATGACAGATAAAACTTTACATGCATTTCTGTTTAAATATTTTGATTTACATTTTTGTTTAAGCAACTTTTTTTAGTTTATGTTTTACATATGTATTGTTTTTCTCAATGTTTGTTAAAGGTTTAGTGTTCATATTAGAAATGTACTTATGATGCTGATCAAATGTCTGAAGCAAAAGGGACTAATAATAAAACTGTTTTCTTACATCATGTGCTCTGAAGTCTGTCTGCAATAATACTTTCTTTTCTCCAATAGTTTACCAGTTGATTAATAACCCTCTTTTATTTCACCCTTATTTATATTTCTTCCCGCTAGTTATGTTTTCTATTAATTTATTGTTTTACTCTCATTCAGTTCCTTGGAGATTTCTCTGAGTGATCCAATAAATATTTGGTATTTCTAGGAAAACTTTGTTTTGTTTTATTTGTAATCTTATTTCATGCCATGTAAGGGCATGGTGTGAGATAACCATAACCCCCTGTTTTCTCAGTTATTATCTTCTAACCCCAGGGCAGTACCAACCAAACGCTGCAGCCACATGCACCTGTGCATGCTGATGTATTGTGTCTCTTGGTTGGGTTGTTCTTTTCACAATTATGAATAGAGAAATTCTGATTTTGATATATTTATGCAAGATCAAAAAAGCCCACACATACCTTAGTGTTTTGTGGAAATGGGATCGGGGTACGCCGGATACAATCAATGTGCCTGGATGCATCTCAGCTCGCGGCATAGAAGACATAGACGGTATTTCAACATACAGAGTTGTACAATTTGCTGATAAAGTATTTTCTTTTTCTAATGACAAACCAATTCTTCCAAAAGTAATAAATGTAACTTCTGATTTTTCAGAAGCATTGGGGCTGTATGTTATTTGGAAAAAAAAAATAAAAAAATGCAAACTACTTTTTTTGTATTGCTGTTGTGATACAAACTTGGAGTAAATTCTTGTCAAGAGTGAAATCAAGTAATTAGGAATCCATCTATATAAGAATATGGATTTAAGACAATCCAAAAATATAGATGTAAAACTGGAAGAAATAAAAAATAGATAAATAAATAAGCCATTGGTTACTAAGAGATTTGACCATTTTGAAGTGTAATCAGAAGATTTTTGAAAATAAGTTTACCCCCTTTGTTTTTTGTATATAAAGCAACAAATCATTCGGAAAGCAAACAGTATGATTTATCAAATCATTTGTTGAAATAAATCACGCTACATTAAAAAATCATAACTTCTGAAGGAGTATAATAGGGGACGG